TTTACAGTGTAAACATAATATAAAAGTATCAAACCAACCGCCTCCCCTATAGGTGCTGACGAGGTACGGTGGCGCCATCTTGGGGCGGTCGACTGCTCTGCTCTCTGTGTTCAGCACAAAGATCTCCATTTATTCACTGGATTGCTGAATGACCGAAAAAAAGTGAAGCCACTGGCCGCCATATTGGTACTCCCTAGTTAGACTATAATGTAAACAATCTGTGCGCTGCAGCATCAAACAACCATGATTTTCTCATTTTCAGGGACTGAAGACTTTTAAAATAAAGATAAATTCATCTCTTTGTCACAGACTGGCTGCTTCATAGCATCAGTAGATTAACTTTAACTTAGAATGAATAAATAGGCCCATCACATAACAGAGTCATTATGAAGCCAATGAATTCTATAAATCATGTGATATAACATATTAAATTAATGTGATGGATAATGTGGAGCAGATTAATACAGATGAGCCAAAAGTGCTAAATTGGTGATGTAGATGAAATATACATGGAGTGAAGAACTTTCAGACACACTGGAAGAGTGTCTGAAAGTTCTTCAGTCTCCCTGAAAATGAGAACATCCTGGTTGTTTGATGCTGCAGCGCACAGATTGTTTACATTGCGACCGGTCTAACTAGGGAGTACCAAGATGGCGGCTCAACTTGATTGTCAAATGTGCTACATGGTAAACATACAACACAGATGAAATTTCAGTCCTCTCATCCCCACGGTGCATAATAAAATATAAAATATAATGAACCATAGCATTAAAAAAAAACAGAAATAAAAACCTAAGATATAAAAATAAATATTAAAATACTTATTTTATTATATGGCTTCTCTTCAACCCAGTAATCCAGTGAATAAATAAGGATCAGTGGACTTAAGAGTGTTTTTAGACTTAGACAACATTTATTGTCGTTTTGTGTGCAATGTATGAATATAAAACTAATATTTGTTCTGTAAAGCTTTCATTTCCATCCATAAAGTGCAGCAGTGATCAAATATAAACAGTGTGGGAGAAAAACCATGATGTAAAAACAGCATAGATCTAGAAGTTCAGAGCATTAATATCTATGGAGCAAATATGCAGCATATTGGTTATGTGTTATCAGTGAGATGAAGCGTCTGTGACACGATTTAGTTTCCTCAACAGCAGTCTGATGGCGGTGGGGAAGAAGCTGCTGATAAACATCTATATAGATCAGCTGTTATTGTCAGTAGGAAGGGAGCCACATGCCGACGGTTAGCAGTTGGTGGAAAACACAGTTCAACACGCCATTTTCAGTGGGAAAGAGGCTAAAAAGTCTCCAATTCTTCGTCTTTTAAAGATCTAAAGACGGGACAATTGGAACATCATAAAAACGACTTTCCTGGAGATTTTAATCTGTAAAAGAACTAATCCAGGAAGTGCGTTTGTTGATCAGCATCTTAAAAACAATAA